GAAGATCAATAAAAGGATCTGAACAGCATATTGGACTGAACCTTTTGAGCGCGTCAACAAGGATTCCCCTAATCAGCCGCTCGGCGACTTAGTTGTTTTGACTGTCGCCAACACTACGGTTTACCTGTTTTCAGGTTTAAAAAAATATTTTGGTGAAGTCTTTGGTGAACCTGATTCATGAAACGTACCTCAGTACAGGAATGACGTGTTGTTATGCAATATCAGACCAGAGTGGAGATTCTGCTGTACTAAAAGTTTTCCGTGTTTCTTGGCTTCAGCACAGCTGATTTCAGTGGAAGCTGATTTTCAGTGGAGCTATCCCTGCTTCAGCAGGGTTAGCTCCACTGCAGCTCTAAAACCTGCAGGACAAAGGCCCTCGAAGGCTGACACTGGACATGCCTGTCCTAAAACTAAACATTCTGAGATCGCAACTAGCCCCAAACTAAACTCAATTCACACCTTCTTCATAAAAGTTCCCCCTTTCTCTAAAACAGCAATTCCCCTCATGGGGTCAAGGCATTCAGCCTCACTAGAAGCAGTATGTCTGCACAAGTTGCTTTTGGCCCCACAATGTATCAAATAAAGTACCAACACACACTCACAGTCACATTCCAGGATATGACATTTACATTACCCCAATTAATGACGTTACAAAAAAGTGGCACTCATTAATTAATAGCAAAGGATTTCCAGGTACAATATGCTTTAACTATTCCTAGAGTTGATAATACCTCCTTATATACCATTTGTCCTTGCTATATATGCTGATATAAGCTGCTTTTTGTTTTCTAAATCTTTCTACAGGAGAGAAGATCGAGGCAAGACCTGGTGATGAAGTAAGAGGAAATACAATTTTTTTAAGATGCATTTTTTTGGAAGTAGACTTGATTTGATTCATTTAAAAAATGTAGAACTGAATAAAGTAATGTAGGAATGTCAACAGACTGACAAGATATGATCCAACTATTGTAATGAAAATGTTGATTTAATTCAATTTAGTTACATTACATGATATTCAAAAAAGAAACAGATTATAACAAAATAATGTGATGCCTGTGTGCAGTGTTTATTGCCAACAACCAACTTGCAACACTGGTCAAAGGGCCAGTGCTGCAAGTACAATTTCAAGATATCATATAAGACATTGAAACTGAGTATTCAAATGATAGTTTCTTATTATTTAATTTATCATGTTATCAATTTGTCCATTTGAATTTAGATATCCTTGGTTTTTCTAATCAGAAATTATTGTTTACACTTAATTCCAAAAGCTGATTGATACATCAGCCAGATAATAGTTGGGGCCGATATAATTTTTTTGTTGTATTTCTTCTATTGCCCGTAAGTGCAAAACAGATGAATTGCCAACCCCTCCCTTTGCCATCCATTGTTAATGTTTACGGTATTTATTTATTTATTAATAATTTTTCTTTAACAGTCTCAACACCAAAAAAAATCAGAATTTTTCATGTTAAAACCTGCTGAAGAAATCCAGTTTGAGAGTAGCTTGTTTTTGTTTTGTTTTTTTAGATACTTTGTTCAAACTAGAAAAGCCACCAGAGTGCACTCTTCACTAAGCTATATCCTCCTCTTCCTCCTTGATTTCTCATTCCTGGAAGGCTGCCAACATTATACAGGCTTGCTTTCACCACTTCCACCTTTATTCCACCAAAAGGGGGAAATCAAACAATCAGGAGTTACCTGCAGGCAGTTGATAAGCGTTACTGCCTGTATAACTTTTTATCTATTGTGTAAGAGACTGAGAAGTTGTGCACACGAAATATAAATTTTTACCCACTAAATATTAGTTACTTCCCTCAAAATAATAATTTGTGCCCACAAAATACTAATTTGTTCACGAAAAACTTATTCATGTACAAATTTGTTCTTATGGTGTAACTTATATGTGGCCACAGCATAGGTATATGATGTGCATAAAATTCTAAAACATAATCCTGCTACAGCTCACCTTCTATAACAGAGGAATAAACCAACATGATAGTCAATGATAGTCTGGTGGAGTTTTATTTTAGGTGAAGAATAAACTATAAAGAGATTCTAATTTTCTTTAGTGAGGCTTTAAAATAAAATATTGAAAGCCAGGTATAGATTATGACTGCACTATAAGTCCATTCTATGTTTGTCTCGAACATTTCATATTTCAGTTCAAGGTCAAATTGAATGAGAAAATATGCAGCTATGTTTATGTGATAAGGGATTCAATAGAGCACCAAATAAGGGCATTCATTACTTGTTTTATAGTATTGTGTGCATCCTAGAGGCAAGTCCCAATTTGTAACTGTGGGACAGATATGATCTAAGTGTAGAGAAAAAACAGACAGGAAAAAAAGAAGAGAAATTACCTTCTCTTTGAGTGTGAATAGCTTTAAAATTACAAAAAAAAATGCTATGATCCATCGCTGAAGATGACTCTGAGCCTCAAACCTCACAGAATGACTTGAATGATCATTAACTGGAGCTATGTTTAATCAAACCTCAAGTGATCTCAGTTTATCTCCATCTGTAGTGGTGCTTTACACATGCAGGGCTTGTAATGGTGTGTAATTACGCATGGTCCAGCTGTTTATCAGTTTGTTTCTGTTCTCTTACTCATCTCAACTATTACAGTTTATAACCTTGGTCTTTATCATTCACAGCAGCAGTGATCTCTGGCTCTGACCTGACCAGATATTATTTCTCCTCTGTGTTATTTGCTGCACAGGGAGCTGTAAAGCCCATAGTTACACATGCTGAAGGCAGACTCGTTCTGTGTGAGCAGATGCTTTGTTTGTGGCCTGGAAGGACATAATGTCAATATAGTGTGTATGTATTTATGGGGAACAAATTAATATTTTGTGCACAAAACTTAGCATTTCATCGGATCAAATAAGTATTTCAGGGGCACAACTTAGAATTTCATGGGCACAAATAAATATTTTGTGCACATGTTAATCACGTGCATTGCCCAATGTCATTTCCCGGGCTCCGTAGGAATCAATTAGACTGATGTCAAAACAATGGGTATTGGCATCATCTTTAAAAAAACATCAATATAGTTTGATCTACTTAATACATTTAGGACTTTGCATTCTTTGCGTGTTGTGGCCAAAGAGTATGTACAATATGTCTTGCTGTAGAGATGGTCTCTGTTATATCAGGTAGGCTAGGATATAATAGAGCTTTTATTGCTAACTGTAGTGTGTGCCTTACTAAACCACTACAACAAGCTAATAAGTGAACAGTTTTGTACGCTGGGGGGTTAAACTTTTCTGTTGGTCAGATGTCAGTTTACTCAGTCCACCTAAGTCGACTATTTCACAAGTCGACCTTTTGGTGAATACCCTGCTTTGCACACAAACTTATTTGCACCTGTTTTGAGACACACTAAGCTTTTTAAGATCATCATCAGTTTTCACATTTTTATAAATTTATACATCGAAAGACCTTGGTAATCTTTGTTATTTTCTATCTTTTAACAGTCTCTCCGCAATCCTTTTATGGAAAACAACAAAGGTCTGGAAGAATATGAAAAAATACTCCAAAGACTTCATCTAAAAGACCAACATCAACGGACGTTGACATCAGAGGACTTTACTAAAATAGGTCCACCTGTAAATCAGACTAATCACATCTTTGAGGAAGATCTAGTTTCTACTTTTCTTCAGAGGTTATTGATGTTAGATTACAGGGCAAGATACATTCCTGTACAACAAAAAAGTTCTAATGCTAAAGATTTACAGGTTCTTCCAGTGTCTGAAAGTGATTTTACAGGAGATGTTTTAGATCTTCTTTTCACAACTAGTGCAGACTCCAGTCAATCAAAAGAGGATCATATACACCCAATGGATGTTCAAATGGCAATATTTCACTGCTCTGATAACTTTCTTAGACAGAAAATTATTACCAAGTTGTCACAGTGCCAGTATGCTTTACCATTGCTATTTCCTGATCCTGTCACTGCAAATATTGAGTGTCCTCTCTGGACATTCAGACAAATATCAAAAACATGGAAAATATGCACCAAGGCAGAAAACTCAAACATTGTTGAAATGAAGAGCATGCCAATCTACAAAGCTAAGATTCCCCTTGTTTCATTTTTCCGACTGGGCTCCTTGTCTGTGTCCAAATCTCAGCTGATGAACGTCTTGATCAATGATCGCCACAACACATTCTTCCATAGAGACTGTCCAGGCAGCACCAAATCTCGTCATTTGATGGATGGTTTGGCAGAAATTGCCTGGTACTGCCCTGCTGGAAAATCCAATGATTTCTTTAACGACTGTGTTGCTTTCTGTAATCTTCATGGGGATTCTTTAGAAATGGTCAAACAGCGTGAAATACTGACTGAAAATTCCTCAGTCATTGTTGTTCTCGTACAAACTTTGGAAATGAGCCAGGAAAGTAAGGCAATCATTTCAATGCTTTTCAACTCTCAAAAACCTCTGGTAATTCTCAGTGCTGACAATGACTGTAGTGCAGATCAGGTGGAACCGCAAAAATACAAACTGGGTCTGAAAGACAGAAGCCAATCCGATGTTTCTGAAGAGCTGAAAGAAATGATAAGAAACATTTTGTCTGGACCCCACAAAAGCTTCCAGCTTGAAACTATGAAAAAAATGACAAATGAAGTCAGAGTGGATGAAGAGGCAGAGGCCTGCCAAAATGGGAAATCTGCTGCAATGGAACTGGTTGCATTGATTAAAAAGATGGATATCACCAAAATAAAAGAAGTCTTTCTCCCCTGCCAAGGCCAACTTTGGTATGAGTGGTGCAAAATCAACAAAGAACTGTATCATCTAAAGGGAGACATTGAGCAAGAAAAGGCTCATAAAACTCAGCAACTGATGGAACTACGACAGAAACAGTGTGACGCGTCCAATAGTGAACTAATGAAGTTGTTCACTGAGAGCCTCAAAGGTTTGCCAACAAAAGCTGGAGAATATTTCTTGAAATGGACCCAAATCCTGATAGATGCCATCTCCACAGATGATCTATCTTCAATTCTCCAAAAATATGATGAAACATGGTCAGAAGTCTTGGTTCTTAAGAAGAAAGATAAAACTTCTGAAGAATTAAATACAAAACAAGCTGAGCTTGAGCAGTTATCCAAACAGCTTCAATCAGCAACATTTGGTCTTGAGCACATGTTTAGAGAAATGGGACAGATCTATGAAGCCCATAAATCTCTGGAGAAACCAGCAGAGGGCCAACAGGCTGAATGGACTAAATACCCTGAGCTGGCTGCAGATCTGATGATAAAAGGACACCCAATGGAGCTGATGGATGGTGATGCAGGCCATGTGCCTTTGATATGGATGTCTAGTCTTATACAGGAGGTCATCAAGAAGCTAGGTGACCAGAGAGTCTTTGTGCTGTCAGTTCTGGGCTTACAAAGCAGTGGAAAGTCAACAATGCTGAATGCCATGTTTGGATTGGAATTTGCAGTGAGTGCTGGGAGATGCACCAAGGGTGCTTACATGCAGCTGGTTAAGCTGTCAGAGGAAATACAGAAAGACTACACATTTGACTATATTCTAGTTGTGGACACTGAAGGGCTGCGCGCTCTTGAGTTAGCAGGCAATGCCACCCTTCATCACGATAATGAGCTTGCAACATTTGTTGTTGGTCTAGGAAACTTGACACTGATCAACATCTTTGGTGAGAATCCAGCTGATATGCAAGATATCTTACAGATTGTTGTGCAGGCTTTCATGAGGATGAAGAAAGTCAAGATTTCTCCAAGTTGTGTGTTTGTTCATCAGAATGTCACAGATATTGCAGCAGCTGTGAAAAACATGGATGGAAAAAGATGCCTGCAGGAAAAACTAGATGCAATGACTCAGTTAGCTGCTGAAGAGGAAGTGTGTGCTTTTGAGTGCTTCAGTGATGTCATTGCATTTAATGTGCAAGAAGATGTTAAATACTTTGCCCAGATATGGGAGGGAAGTCCACCAATGGCTCCTCCAAATCCAGGGTACAGTGAGAGTGTCCAAGAACTGAAGGCCTCCATCCTGTCTAAGGCCTCAAAGTCTGATGGGATTCTTCTGTCACATTTTGGTACTAAGATCCAGGATTTGTGGAACGCTTTGATGAATGAACACTTTGTTTTTAGCTTCAAAAATACTCAAGAAATTGCAGTCTATAGAGAACTGGAGGTGCAGTATGGAAACTGGACCTTGGCCTTGAGAAGTGAGATGCTGAATGTTGAAAACCAGCTTTTTCCCAAAATTGAAAAAGGTCAACTGGACGATGTTGAACTCACTGACCTTTCCAATCAAATGAGTAACAAATATGAAGAAGTGATGAAAAAGATGGCAGCTTATTTTAATGACAACAAAGACAAAGAAATGCTGGTTCAGTGGCAGGGTCGATTTGAGAACAAAATTAAAGGTTTTCATGAGGACATTGTGAGAGACATGGAAAGAAAATTGGATGAAGTAATCCAGCTGAAAAATGCCCGAACAAAGCTTGACGACAAAAAGACAACTTTTGAGAACAAGCTGCTGCAGCACAGCAAAGAGCTTGCTCACAAGTTAAAATGCCTTGAAAAATATGAAGAGGAATTAAAAGCAAAGTTTAATGCTGTTTGGAGTCACTGGGTTAAGGAACTAACCTCAGATACAAAACCTATTGAAAACATTAATTTGGAAACAGACCAGGTTGATGTCCTTTTAGATATTGGTGTTGAACCGAAGCTCATTGATGAATCAAAAAAAAATCAGAAATACAAAAACCTCTCTGAAATTGGTAATTATTCTGATTACATAACACCAAAGAAGAACTTAGCGGGTGCCATGGAGAGATTCAAAAGGTTTTTTGTATTTAAAGAGCAAGAAGATATCAGATTGCTCATTAAGGAGGTTGAAAAAAAATGTCTGGATGCCCTTAAGAGCAAACCTGTTACAACAAGAGGTTACACATCAACCTACTTGTCAGACATGGCTCAAATCATTATAAAGCACATTAAAGCATCTGAATCTGGAAGGAAGTATGTATTCAAGAAGGAGTTCACAGTTGATCTTTCACTCTTTGTGTTTGACAAGGCAGAAAGTTGGCTCTTAAACTCCTACAAGACATACAAAGACAACAATGATGTTTGTAGTTATTTAGAAACCAAGAAAAATGAATATTACAGCATTTTTCAAAGCTTCTGTAAAGGAAGCTCTTCTGCTGTTGTGTTTGGAGAAATGATGCGTAAAAACCTCAAAGCCTCTGCTGTTGCAGCTGTCTGTAATAAGACTGCAGTTAATATTGCTAGTGAGATGAAGGGCAGGGTCCCAGCATTCAGTGGGAATAGAGTGAACTTAGAGAAACATGTCTTAAAGAGTATGGCAGAGAAGAAAGACTTTGACAGTTTCACCACCTACTTCAGAAATCCAAGAAAGCAACTGGAGGCCTTTATTAAAGAAGAGGTGCAGAGGTGCTTGTCTAATAAGGAAAAAATTAATCCTCACACAATTCTCAGCAAAAATGTAGATGACATCAGCAGGGCCATTGGTCAGGCTTTGTTTGAGGCAACAGAAGACGTGAAAAAGAAAGGAGGAGACATAGAGATGTGGGTGAAGGAGTTTTCCACTAAATTAGAGCCATTCTTAACAATTGATACCATTAGTTGTCAAAACTTCAAGGACATAAACAACTTTGACTTTCTTAAAGAAGAGATGGAGAAAGGCCTTAAAATAATCACAAAGGAAATGAGCAATCTCTCTCTGAATGAAGTGAATAAATGCAGGCAGAGGCCTGAACAAATCCTCATTGATCAGTTGTTGTAACTGCTGCTGGGAAAAATGTCCTTTTTGTTTTACAGTTTGCACCAATACTCTAAAGGGCCACAGTCCTGATAAGCACAGTGCTCTTTTTCATCGTCCCGGTGGAGTTATTGGTGTCCATTACAGGGGAACAGATCAGCTGTACACAGAATTCTGCACTACAGCTGTAGCAAGTGATAAAAGCTTTTACGACGATGATTCAGACCGTACAGTTCTTTATAAAGATTATGCAACTGCTGGAGGAAGATTAGCTGCATGGAGCATCACACCTGATAACTCTATGCTGCCCTACTGGAAATGGTTTGTCTGTCACTTTCAGACGAAACTGGAAGAATACTATGAAAATAAATTCCATCGTCATGGAGAAATCCCTCAGCAGTGGAGAATGTGTACTAAGGAAGAGGCCATCAAGAGTCTAGATGTAATGTAAAATCTGGGAGAAAATGTGTCCCTCAAGTCAGAGGTCAGCTTGTCAACAGTAATGAGAAATACTGATGTAAGAGACATTGCTAAATGAATAGAAAAGTGTTTGGTACAAACTTCCAGATTTAATTGTTCTGTAAGTTGAAGAAAACTAGAATATCTTCAAGAAAACTTTTAAATATTTTTCCTTATATTAATCTTGTATATTGTTGTTGTTTTCCTTGATTGATTTTTAAGTCACTAAAGATGGGATTAAGAGTTATGATTTGAAGTATAAAATGATGTTAATATTGATGGTGGTTGTGTAAGCACCTTGACTTTTTATCTTAATGTAATGAACTTATCATGGAGTTCTTTTTTTTTTTTTGCTTTAAAATTTGATTAATCAATCATTAAAAAATAAATGTATTAATTTTAAGTTTTGAACAAAAAGATTAAATAATATTCATGATTTGAATTCTTGAAAGATGTTATTTAATGAGCAACAAATGCTTTTTGTGTTTTTATGATTAATTTTAGGTTTAAAATCTGATGGTTTTTTTCAATCAACTAAAGTGACACATTTTTCAATATTTGGACTTTTCAGCTCTTTGTTTGTTCATGTTGAGCTGTGTTGGGTAAATGTTTTATGTTTTTTTTCAAGTATACTTTAATTTGTAACAGAATATGCTGATCAAAAATGTCAATAAATGCAATAATCAGACTATTATTTCATTTCACATCATTTATGATACTTAACCGTTGCAACAATATTAATACTACTTGAACTTCTCCACATATTGTCACAGTACAAATGTAAAAATATTTTATTGGAATTTTAAATGAAAAGATCACAACAAAGTGCCTTTCAGCTTACATTACGAATACATTATTTGTTAAATGAAATAAAAAAAATCTAAAAAGTTTGGCGTCTAAAAATATTCAGCCCCATTTTCTCTGAGTGCAACCATTTGCATTTAGATGTTACCTGATGATTGCTAATAACTAAAGGGAGTTTACCTTTATGTAATCTAATCTCATTACAAATACACCTGAATGCAGCTGCTCTGTGACAGCTGTAGAGTTTGGTTCTGAGAACAAATGGGAGCAAAAAACATGAAGTTCAAGGAACACACCAGATGGATCAGGAAGTTGTGGAGATATTCAAATCAGGCTTAGGCTATAAAAAGATTTTCCAAGCTCTGAACATCTCAGTAAATTAACAGGACATGGAAAACATATGGCACAACTTTAAACCTACAAAGACAAGGCCATCCACCTAAACTTACTGGCAGAAGAAGGAGAGTATAATCAGAAATGCCGCCAAGATGCCAATGGTGTCTCTGGACAAACTGCAGAGATCCACAGCTCAGGTGGGGGAATCTGTCCATAGGATAACTGTTAGTCATACACTGCATGAATTGGGCCTTTATGGGAGAATGGAAAGAAAACAAAGAATGTACAAAGAAAACAATAAAAAGTCCTGCTTGCAGTTCTCCAGAAGCCATGTTTCCGACAGCAAGAAAGGTGCTTTGGTCAGGTGAGACCAAGTTTAAACTTTTGATTAAAATGAAAAACGCTATGTGTGAAGGTGAGAACTACCACAACATATCACTTTGAACACATTACCCCCTCTAGCAGTATATTTTGAAATAATTTGTAAAGTAACACAGTGAAATATTGGATGTATTTGTGAAATAAAACCATAAGATGGTTGAGATCCAAACAGCATGTTTAATTTGCTTGGTAAAAAAACCCATTGAAACACAATGTTAGACGTGATACTGATAGATTAATGACATCAGAACAATACTGGAAGGACTAAGGGCCAATCTAAATATACCCCCTAGCTCTACATTTCAGCCGTACTCCTAAATTTAGCATTTTCCTGTGAGGATGTCAGATGCTGACTTCTTCAGGAAGGGCCAGAGACAATTTTACAGAAAACATGAAAGACAGGGTATTCTATGGAGCGCCTTGCAGTCCCTTTTTTAAACTTTTGAACAAAGAAAGCTGTTGGCATCGGTGTCCTTAGACATCAGAGGTAGGGCGAGGCACCATTCTGGAGCTTAGACAGGAGCATCGGGACACCAGAGCACCATTAGAAAGAAGTCCAGAACCAAGATGAAGCAGCCATTTGTGCCCACCTCTGGAGCCGAGGAACCACAGCAGGAGATTAAGGAAAACAACAGTAGCTGGGCAGATGAGGACCAGACTGAGGTAGAGCAGCGTCTTGCCTGTGCTAGCTCAGAAGGAGCATAGCGATAGATCAAAGTAACCTGAGAGCACTTAAGCCGGATGAGAGGCCATGATTGGCTGGGAGGAGGACAGCGATACACTTTAGAGAAGTACGACAGAGGTCCATTTCCCAAAGGAGGCTTAATAAAAGCTCTAACTCGGTTTACCTTTAAATCAGGGGAACTCAGAATTTTCTATTTAACAAAGCAAGATTACTCAACCTCTGTGTCTGTTATCAAATTAGCCCTCCTTAACGTTCCATTTACTGATTTAGTCAGGAGAGTTCTGTTGTAGTTCTGTGCAAACAATAAAAAGAAAACCAGTCAGTAGTTCAGTTAGACTTATTAGGAGTTAAAAACAAACATTACATGTCCTTTGAACAAGGATCCAATAAAAGAAGCAGCGCCAATAATTAGTAGAGAATTGAATATCTGTCAGGAGAGTGTTCTCAGACTGCTTTGTAGAAGTCCTTTCATAATTAGAATCTTTATGAATACTACCGTTTCACCTCACGATTCATTACATAAATCCACAACCTTATCCATCCTCAGATTAGCAGCAGTATAAAGTCTTCTTTCAAATGCATTTAACAGAACTTGATATCATTGAGAGAAAATAGAGGAGTGTGGTAACAATCTTATCATAAAAAACTGTTCAGAGTTTATATTTACTGCGTGATTAAAGACAGAATAAAATGAGGAGGTACCCCATGAGATGATGCACCGGACATTTTTTTTATACTTCATCTTCCCCTGCTGCTGGATTGGGTTCCTCCGCCATGGGATTACATCTAAATGGAATATATTGATCCACTACCATTCCAGTAGTAAACTAGTTTTCCCTCATAATGTTGTCAAAACAGACTACAGCAGGTCAGTTTGATATTTATTTGTTAGACTGAATATGTATTTCTGAAATCTAAAATACAATTCTACGAAGTCAAAATGAAGATTTCAAACAAAATGACATTCTTCATATATACAATACACATTCTTGATGTCTAAAGAGGAATTTCAGATCTGCATATTTGTATTGTTAGTGGTCATAATATTTATTATTTTGACTTGAAAGAAATATGTTTCAGATTTCAGAAATACATATTCAGTGAAGGTGATATATGTGAAAACCGCCACATAGAATGTGACCATCCATCATTTCTGATGCATATTCCATCAGGGTCGCAGTGGGGCATATCTCCGACAGACTACGGGCGAGAGGCGGGGTACACCCAGGGCAGGTTGCCAGACAAT